ACCTTAGAAGCAGCTCAACACCAAGTACTACAGCAGGACTAGAGTTCCCAAGGGATTCACCTTTCCACTCACACCAAACTGGGCACAAGCAAAGAGGTTTGGCCGGAGCCATAGCTGTTTGTTGTAACGAGGGTAAGGCAGAAAAGCAGCAGCCTGGCTCTCTACCCCTGTGTAGGTGGCCTTCTGACAGCATCCTGCTGTGTTCAGAGGTACAAACATGCTGCCGTGAAATATCAGGCTGTTTTTTATGAAGGCCTTGTGTCCATAGGCAGTTCAGTTTCTTCTGTGTTAGGCAGTTTGCAAAATAGCTATCCTATTTCATAACAAATGGAGCAATATCTGCAAAGCCCTTTCTTACGCTTTGAGAGAAAGAAATACTTTATATTACTTACTGAAGGCTTTATTATAGGACCTTTTACCCAGCAGGAGGCAGCAGTTTACTGCAAAACTAAGCAGAACTTACGAACACTTATGTTTGATCTTGGTTAAAACTAGATTTTAAAGTGAATTGAACTGGGAAAAGAAAAAAACAAAACAAAAACCACCAAAAAAACCCCAACAAAACCCCCCAAAATAACACTCATCATCTGCCTCAATAGCTTTGATAGAGGCTTATCCAGGAGTTACAAATGGATCCTGCACTACTAAGCCTTGACATAAGCAGCATGACAGGTGTCGACCCAGCTACATGGAGAAGTTGAAAAGCTTGGAGATTCCACATCTATCCTGCATTAGTTGCAAGTAGGACAGTACTAACTTATTATGTCAGATTCAAAGCATGCTAATTTTGATTTTGTGGCCCTTTTTGCATCTTCGAGTATTACCAACAGGGTTATAAGAAAGACCTTTTGACTTTCTTTTGTAGCAGAACAAGATTTATGCTCATTCTACACTCTTAAAAAATGCCTGACGACCGATTTTGGTGTTGCAGTGTAACCCACAGAAGTGACCAGGATAATTAATTTGTTCCTTTTAAAGCCTAGTTGCATACATAATTACACAAAAATTAACTATCATTTTTACTGCACTGGAGCTTAATAGAAGACCTAAATAATTCAGTCAGCTGAAAACATCAGAATCTCACCATGTACCTGAACGGTTGTGATTCTCCCGTGGCCACACCACATCAGAATAACCAATATATGATTTCAGATTGGATATATTTCACAGGCTCTGCTTCCCCCAAATATTTACTCCTGCTCTATAGTGACTCTGGAGCAGAATGAGGTATGTGTAAAGGCATTATGCTCCTTTCAGGTAACCCCCCATTAATTCAAAGCAGTGCACAGCACCATTAAAAACTAGGAGTGCAACTCTCCTGCTTCCCTTATGCAACCAAAGCAACACTTACCATGACTGAGGAAGTACAGCCTTGCAAGAAGATGGGGTCAGCTGTCCTGTCATGTCTGTAACTCCAGAGTGGCAGAACCACTCAGGAAAAACACCTATGCTGCTCAGCATCCTGCTTCTGGCAGTGGCAGGTCTCATTGTGAAGAGTCCAAGACCAAAGGAGGCCACACAGTAGCTTTCTTTGAGTAATCATCCAGCTTCCAGCAAATCCAGGAGCTTCATGGACTACAGCAGATAACCTCAAACTTCTGGGTAGACTTTTTCTGCTGAACATTTCAAGCCTGTGAGCCTGCACAACATTCTGTCATCCAGCATTCTACACAACAAGAAGCCACTGAGCTGCCATCATCTCATTCTTACATCAACAACCATTAACCAGAAAACTCTACCCACACTCTCCATACCCCAGCCACCCATTTTATAGCTTTCTGCCACCTGAAGTTTATTACCTAAACACTGGCAGCTGGTTCTTTTCTAGCTCCCAGGCACTCACCTCTGTACATCCACCTCAAGTTCAGTTGCTTCTTAGGAGGTGAGAAAACCTTTTTTGCTCAATCATTAATGGAACTTTGCAGACAGTTTTGGCAAAGTCCAGCTGACTACTTTGCAGTGCTGTTTTTTGCAAGTCACATTTTGGGATGCAGCTATAATTAAGGAAGAGTGTGCTGTGTAAGCTCAAACATTAGACCAAATAAATGAAAGATATCCCCAGTAGGCCATCCTGGGGCCCGCCAGACTTTAACCTGCCTAAGCAATCTGTAACATTTAACAAGCTGCTGAAACACACTGGTGGACAAAAGGTATTTCTGGCATTTTTGAACTTCATGTCAAGCTGCATTTGTTAACCCAAAATGTAATGATCAAATCAATATGCATGTATCTGGACCTTTCCTAGAATTGCCAGGCCTGGTGGAAAATGCAGTGAATCTATAGTGTTTGATCACATTCTCTGCAGGAGGCAACTTGTTAGTTACACCAGCAGCTGTGAGTGCACAGTAAATAACTTAGCAATACCTATTTCTCCTCAATGATTTATGACGTACACAGAGACACTCCACCTAGCCACATCCTGCTGAGACTTTGCTCATAGTTTCCTTATTCAGGATTACAAGAAGATCCATGAAACTTCTTCCTTTGCTCTTTTCTCTGCCTCTCACTGCTACCTATGGCTTCACACCAGTTGCAGTGCTGTTCTGGGGGACACCTGAGATAACCAAGTTATCTCAGGGAAGCAGGGAACCTCTACTACGGCCACACTTTATCCCATGGAATCTGTAAAGTTGGTAGAAAGGAGCTGGAAAAATCAAACCACTGTTATGTTGGGAACTCCTTGCAGGCTGGTGGATCACAAAAAATGCCATAAACTTATGAGACCTTCTGCCAAAGCTGCCACACTGCATTATTGCCAGTGCCCTTGCAGTCATCTACGTGCTTGGTGGTACCTTCTGAAAAGCTACATGGCAGTGGCTTCTGTAAGATCTGTTCTAAAGAACCTCCCTACCAAATAAATAGACTATGTCTACATATAAATGTAGGCATCTCTACCAACACATTTACTCTGGCAAGCCTTATCTTTCCTGAAACAAGTAGGTGACCACTATGTTGTGCTTTAATCCCATGTGCTCAGGTGCTCACTTTCCCATCACCTCCATTAATCACAATTCAATCTTTTAGATGGAAAGAACAGAGATGAACTTTTTTAAAGAAAAATGAAAAGAGGAGTGGACTAGAGAAGGTGACTGCTATAGATAGAGAAATGGAAAGAAAGGTCTTGCTATACCATTATTAGAGCCATAGATTTAAAGAAAGGAGATTGAAAGGAAGAGGCAAAATATGGCGTACACAAAGCCCTCCAATTCTGCTCACAGCCGTTCTTCTGCTTGAGGCTCTTTGGGTAAGGCCAGGTTTACAGGACTTGCAGCTGACAATACTTTAGCTGAGATGTGTGTACATGATGAATTCTTCAGGAGCTGTGAAAGTTTAGAAGGCCCATTAGCTGCTTTGTGGGCTGGGGGGAAAGACCTATTTTGCTAATATTTCAGTGGACTTGTGGTTTAGTTCGTCGTTACGCTGGATGGTATGAAACTCTGTGCTGCTCCTTCTGACTGAAAGGGTCAGAAGAAATAAACAATAGAAAATTCCTGAAGATCCTGGTGCATTTAAGTGCTTAGATGCAGCTTCAGATTTAAGATAAGCCTTAATGATCTCGAGTCATCTTCCCTTTGACTCTTCTTAGGTGAGTCAGGGAACTCACATACCAGCTCCCATTTGCCTCCAGCACGTGCTGTGAATGCCCCAGAAAGCTTTCGTAGTGCCTGCTGGGCTCATGTGTAAGGAAACCTCTGTGCTGCGTGACTGAATTACTTAAGTGCTTTCCAGAGCCTCCATGCTGCTATTAGAAGATTTGCAGATGAGGACGTTGAAACAATCAGACAACACATGATTAAACAGTGGAACTCGTAGCCACAGAATGTTGTGGAGGCCAAGAGTATGGATGACTTTTAAAAGGATTGGACAAAATTTCATTGTTAAACATAGTGTTTGGGAAGAAGCAGCTGGTGTTAGGGGTCCTTGAAGGATCTACTGGTGATAGCAAAGAGGATGATGCAGGAAGGGGGTCACTGGATCTTATCTTCTCCCAAGTTCTCCTTAAGCATCTGCTACTGGTTGCTGTCAGAGGTGAGATGCTGGGCAGCTGGTTTTTGTCTGAGACCATTGATCCACCCATCACAGCCTTCCCTACAGTTAGCAGGCTTATGGGCTTTACAGTTTAGTACCAGTACTGATGTTTTACACATGGGTTTTATTTCTCATTTCATAATAGTATGTACAACAGGTTGTTGATAAAATTTTAATGTTTTCCCTCATCCTTCCCCACCCCCATTGCATTGCCCTGTCAAAGACAATTGGAGCAGCAGGAGACTGCAAGTGAGACAATGAGCTGCTGTGAATCCAGAGAGTTAATAGATAGCAGAAAGGGAAGCCCAAAAGCAGAAGTAAGTTTTTTGAAGAGCATGACTGCTTTTCACATGCATTCCCTTTAGTGATTAAATGAACTGGGATACAGCCAGATGTGAAGCACTCAACAGAGCTGAAACAGTTTGCAAAAAATAATTTTGAATACACAGCTTCTATTCAATTTGCTGCTTTTTTGTTTATCCACCAGAGTATCTGGAAGGCTGTAAGGTGTTTACCAAACTATTGATGAATTCTGGCTGGAATAACTTTTCAGAGGCCAAATGTTTCTCCCTATCCAGTATTTACTTTTTTTTTTTTTTTCATTACCCTATCCAGCAGCATCAGCTGTTCTGCCAGGAAGCAGAAGCATCAGCAAGTGGCCAATAGTATGTTGGGCAAAGCGACAAGTGTAAAGTAGTGTCCCCCCTAAAATTATCAGACATGCTCAAGATAGGTGCAGGTGCCCTGTACTGGGGTCTAAGCAATTCTGCCTATGCTTCTGGCATCCAAATGACTTTGACTGATGCAATGAGATGAGGGTGGCTCCTGTGGCCCCTTCTTGCTGCTCTCATGTAGCAGGAGGAAGGGTGCTTCCTAACCTTTTGCCTTTGCCCTGTGAAGCATCACAAGGCTCTGATGGCTCTAACCTTGCCATGAACCCAGTGGGACACCGTGGTGTGTCAGTGAGCCCTGCTTTGGGGGAGTATTCTTGATGGTATGGAAGACAGGACAGGCAGATTTTCAGCTAAGACAGCACTTATATTATGGGCATGCATCTTTTAGAGTACCCAAGGCCCAAGCCTTGGTGATAGAATTTAAGTTTGTCAGAGGTCCCCTGGTGTTTCAGACACATAATTTACCTCTCTAATTAACCTAAGTGTTCTACCTGGTGCAGTGCCAAGAGGACAAGTCTCTGGACCTCCAGCTGTGGAGAAGGAGAGCTGTGGAGCTCCTCTGAAGTCCTGTCTGTCCTACTGATGGAAATCTCAAACAGACTGGACGCAATTATCCTGGGGACATATTCTGCTGGGTCCAGATCTGCAAGGCATATGGTGAAAATACAGTGAGCCTGATACTGTACGACATCCGGCAGAAAGCCAGTGTAGCAGTTGCAGTCCTTTAGACACATGGGATGTGTTGAGAAAGCGTTTCTGATTTTTTGTAGTTTGGGTTGTTATTATTTTTAAAGACACACATTGTAGGTATTGGTGGACAATGTGCTTTCACCATTTCTGTGATTCCAGTGTTGGTTCTGATCACTTGCTAACATGGCAGTGGGATGCAGCAGGACTTCAGTGAACCAGAAGCCAGAGCAAGTTATCTAAAGCATGGCTGGAATGAAAGGGACTCTGTGCTTTATTTCCTTATGAATTCCTGATCTATTTTAGATTTGCTTCTTCCTTTCAAAAGAGAAGAGTGGCTGTACTGCACTAAAGTCTAACAAAGAGAGCAGAATTGAGACCATGTAGACAGGAAAGAAAAGCATTCAGGATCCATGAAATAGGAAAGTGGACTCTGGCAGGCTGTGCAAGTGCATGGCCAAGAGTCAGCACTGCCCTTGGTGTGGCACTGAGCCATCCAAACCCTGGTGGTGGCTTCTCTGTGTCAGAACTGAGGTGCGGTCATGGACAGCTGGAAAAACATATGGTGCTGTTGCCTAAGCACCACCTGCATTGAAGAAAAGGATCTTCACACTTGTGTTCTTCAAAGGGAAAACAACACCACTTGCCATGAATGTTTTTCCTTGTGCTGGAAGCCCCAAATCACAACCAGGGATAGACCTCTGGTTACACGTCTGTTTTGCACCTTGTGACACATGGCCTTGTGACGCATGGCCTTTCACTGTTGTTTACTCTTAAATAAAGCATCATTCCACCAAATACAGGTTTGGAGCCATTGACAAGAGTGTTATGTGGCAAGATAGAGTCATATTTTGCAAAAAATAAGTAAAAACAAAGGACCCTCTTACAGACACATACTTTCCATGAATAACCGCCAGTAACTAGAAAACAGGTTTTTTTTTGCTCCTAACCTGGAGGCGTTGCCGTCCCTTCTGTGATTATGGGTTGTTTTTTTTATGGTCTTTAATGATGCACTGTGAAATTAAGGAAAAGACATCCAGAGGTGACCATGGGCTTCAGTGCCACCAACCTTAATGAGCCATCTTCTTTGCAGCTTACTGCCAGCAAAAGCATTGCCTGGATTTTAAAGACCCCTCAGATTCTAGTTTCCCCCCACTTTACCTGTGAGTCAGACAGAAATCACATACTGAGGTTGATTTCCCTGTTAAGAAGGAGCCAGAAGAAGAGAAGGGTAGGGATGGAAGGCAGAGATAAAAAACTCTGCTCTTAAACAATAGCTATTGCTTAAACTTGTTGGTATTTCTGTCCTAAAAAAGCCAAGTGATTTCAGTGTGTACTAAATGTTGCAGTTAATTAAGTACCAGGATCACCCTCTGAAGGCTTTATACCCACAGAAGGTGGACAGGTGGACAGTATCCACATTTTGGAAGCAAATAAATCTTAATCTTTTGATAGCTTGAGGCTGTGTGAAACCTTTCAGGGCTCTGTGGGGCTGGAGGGATTCCCCAGTGGGGATGGGACTGGGACCAGCTCCTACAGCATTGCTAGGGCAGGACACAGCCCCTGGGCTGGGCTGGGGTCCCAGGCAGGGGCAGGAGTCCCAGGTGCTGCTGGCCAGGGTCATCCAGGTCCTGACATGATCAACCCCAACAGAACTGTAGAATCATAGAATCAGGTTGGAAAAGACCTTTAAGATCATCAAGTCCAACCTTTACCCCAGCACTGCCAAGTGCACTGTTAACCATGTCACACATGGTTTTCGAACGCTTCCAGGGACGGTGATTCCACCGTTTCCCTCAGAAGCCTTTTCCAATGCCTGACCACCTTCTCTGTGAAGAAATTGTTCCTAATGTCCAATGTAAACCTGCCCTGGTGCAGCTTGAGGCTGTTACCTCTTGTCCTATCGCTTGTTACTTGGGAGAAGGGACTGAGTGCTACCTCACTGCAACCTCATTTCAGGCAGTTGTAGAGAGTGATAAGGTCCCCACTGAGATTTCTCTTCTCCAGATTAAACAACCCCAGTTCTTCAGCCATTCCTCATCAGACTTATTCCCCAGATTGTTCACCAGATTTGTTGCCCTTCTTTGGACTTGCTCCAGCACCTCAGTGTCTCTCTTGCAGTGAGGGACCCAGAACTAAAGACAGTATTCAAGGTGTGGCATCAAAAGTGCTGAGTGGAGGGGGACGATCACTGCCCTGGCCCTGCTGGCCAAGCCATTTTTGATACAGGCCAGGATGCTGTTGGCCTTCTTGGCTGTCTGGGCACAAGCTGGCTCATGTTCAGTGGCCATCATCCAGCACCACCCTGGTCCTTTTCTGCCGAGCAGCTTTCCAGCCACTCTCTCCCAAGCCCGTAGCATTGCATGGGGTGGTTGTGGTGCAAGTGCAGGACCCATCACTTGGCCTTGTTGGACCTCATACCATTGGCCACAACTCACTGATCCAGCCTGTCCAGATCCCTCTGCAGAGCCTCCCTATCCTCCAGCAGATCAACACTCCCAGCCAACTTGGTGTCATCCGCAAGTTTACTAAAGGTGCACTCAATCCCCTCATCCAGATCATCGATGAAGGTATTAAACAACACTGGCCCTAACACTGAGCCCTGAGGGACACCACTAGTGACCAGTCACCAACTAAATGTGATGCCATTTACCACCACACTTCGAACTTGGCCATCCAGCCAGTTTCCAGCCCAGCAAAGAATCTTCCTATCCAGACCATGAGCAGCCAGTTTCTCCAGGAGAATGCTGTGGGAGACAATGTCAAATGCTTTGCTTATGTCCAAATAGACAATGTCCACAGCCTTTCCCTCATCAACCAGGAGGGTTACCTTATCATAGAGTGAGATCAGATTGGGCAAGCAGGACCTGCCCTTCGTGAACCCAGGCTGACTGGGCCTGATCCCTCTTCCTGCACGTGCTTTCTGATCTAACTTAGCATCATCTGTTCCACAGGCTGAGCTTCAGGTGATTTCAATGAAGTCGTCAAATGAATCAAGTCTGATTTTGCTTCTTTCTTCACCTAATTAGACAACAGGGAGATTTATGGTATAATTGAGCCAACACAGTGTTGCTGTAATTTGACATCTAATTAATCAATGTCCAGTTCTTCCACAGGTGCACTATAAATACTTACTAACCAGTGCAGGATTGTTTCTGTGGGGGAAAAAAAAAAAGAACAAAACCAAACCAAAATGGTGAAATGTATTTATTTCCTGCAACCCCTACCATTTCAGGATGAAAAGCCAGCTGGAGTACTGTTGCTGCCTCAAAGCAATAGAAGAGACACCGCAGGGTGGCCATACTGCCAGTGTCCCATGGGGTGGCTGCCCAGTGCATGTTGCTGGAGGTGTGGGTGATGCTGGATGATGGTAGAAGAGGGAGAAGCGGCTTTTCTCACTGATATACTCCTCACTGCAAACCTGTTTTATCAGAAGTTTATCAATGGGGAGGAAGGGGCTTGTGTTTCTTCAGCTGGACAAATCCAGTGGTTGTTGGAAGCTGTAAAGTGACCGCTATGACAGGCAATGATCAGAGTAAAATTCTGGCCTTATTAGAGTTAATAGGAGTTTTGCATTTGACCTCAGTGAGGCCAAGGATTTTACCCGAGGAGTATTAGTCATAAGTATAGAGATGAATTAGATGACCTGTCAACAAGAAGCAGGCAAGGTTATTCCCATGGGCTCCTGAGCTCGGAATTGGAAAAGCTGAAAAAATAATGTCCAGCTTATTCCATTTATACCCATAATGCATGTGCTTGCTGTATGCAATACCTAAGCATTTATCGCCTGTTTTATTCTGTTCCTGTCAAACACGCAGGGGAACGCTTTGTTCAGGGAGGCAGGAGGGAACTGTAGAGTAAAGTTTCCTTGGAAAACTTCCCAGAACTGGGCTCAGCTCTCATAAACAAACCCTGGGAAGGCAGTTTTGGTGTACAACCTATGGTTCATATTTCTAGGAAATATTGTCAAGCAGAGCTACTAAAGGCCCCATGGAAGTGCACACAGCTACAGCGTGGGGAGCTGACAGCCCGGCCGGCACGCTCCCGCAATGCTTCTTTGGAAACTGTTGCTCTGTTGTTTTTGAGAATGTGATCCACTTGAGACTTAGTAAACACAGCAGAAATGTCCCAAGTTTTAATTTGAGTTTTCAAACACAGGCAGTTAGCACTGGGAAGGAAACTATTTAAGAAGGAGGTTTGAGGGAGACTGCTTTTGTTTGTCATCCGACTCCAGACGGTATGATCCTGTCATCTGGGTGTAGAAATACCCACTCAGGCATGAAGAACTGACCGGCACAATGTAGGTGTCAAGTGATCAGAAACAGCCATTTGCAAAAAACTTCACAAGAAGGAATACAAGAATTTCTCAGGGAATAATAGGACAAATGTATTTGAAACAAAGACTGAGCTGCTTGCGAGCAACAGGAAAATAGATGAAATAGTTAAATATTTCAGTTTTTGGAGAAATCGGTGATCACATATCATTTGACTGACTAAGTATCATTAATCTTCATCTTTATCTCACAAACCTTTTACCGTGGAACTACCTCATTCTCTCTGTTCCCCTGAGGTGTTGGAACCAGTGTTGTTACTTGTGATACAGCTCAGCCTGTGCAGCAGATACGAGTGCCAGTGTAAGCTGCTTTTGCTTTGCCCACTGTGCTATCTGCTCTCCCTGACTGACTGGATGCAGCAGAGATGAGGCAGGAGAAACAGGGCCCCACTGCTCCTCTCCTTACTGCCACACAGGCAGTTGAACCATGCAAGCCACGGGAAGGTAAGAAATCTCTAATATCTATATTCTGGAGATGAGAGAAGAAGGGAGCCAGCAGCAGCAGGGGTCCTACACTTTGCATGTCTTGGGTACAGCGGCTGCACTGAGCACTGCACAGTGCTTGCAGTGTCCCTGCTCCAACCCAGGCAGGGCACGGGTCAGTCCTCATGATCAGATGGATGTGTTAGTGATGGAGTCCTCACAGGGGCATGGGTCTGAGATGCCCATCTCAGGTTTACAGAGACGCGAACAGCCATAACCAAAATGAACACAGGAAGAAAGACAGTCATGACAGCACAATTTTGAGGGAAAGATGGTGATGCTGCACCGTAACAGGGGGACTGGCTTGCTGAGCCCCAGCATCATGGCCAGGACTTCCCCAAAGCTTGCCTGCTTTCACAGACCCCGAGGAAATGTCACTACAGCTGCCCCTGGGGAACTGGAGGGAGTGTGGTACCTGATACACCAGGTGGGTTTAGTGTCCATATGGCCAGGGTTGGGATTTGTCCCTCTCTCCATAAGAGTGAGGCTCCTTCCCTCCACAAACACTGCTGGAATAATAGGATTCTTCAGCAAAGGTGAACTCACCCCCAAACAGAGAGACAATGACATCTTTTGTACCAAAAGTTGTGCAAGATGGAAGGCAGATTGTTTCCTGGCAGGGAGGATCAGATGCTCGGCAGAGTCCCAGCACTGCAGCCATGGAGAGCGTTTGCATCCCTTTTTCTGAGAGCACTGCTACACACACTGGTGAGCCCAGGACCTTCCACTGGGGCTGTGGGGAGCTCTTGCATTGTCTTCACAGAGGGGAGGATGGTTCCTGCAAACAAACCGAGAAAATGCAGTGCAACAGTGACTGCCAGCATGCTCCCAGTTCAGAGGGCAGCTACCCGTTAAATCTAGAGTGTTTCGATACATGCTATTTAAAAAAGAACTAATAAAAGCTATTTCTATATTTGCTCAAGGAGAGAGTTTGCAACAGGGCGATTTTTTTAATTTTATTTTTCCTTAAAATCTCCCTGCTCTCATCATAACAAGATTGATGATTTCTGTGTTTTTCCTTTTAGGAGCATGACAAAAATAAGTTGCCAGCTGAGTTTCTCTTTTATTTTATTCCAAGTTTTAATTTAAGACAGGAGAAGTGTGGCTGAGCTTCTTATTTTCTCCAGTTAGTTTTTGGCACAGAATCCAGGGCCTCTCACAGCTATGCATTCTGTATTGTTTCGATCATGCTAAGACTGAAAGGAAGCATGTAAGTGACTAATGATGGCCAAGTGCTGACGACAAAACCTTGGAACAGCAGGTGAAGCAGGAGTGTGTTTCCCCATACGTGAGTTTCATCTAGCTTAGACCTGGGAATCACTTGATGGTAAAGTGAATGCTAAGCCCTGATTCGCATATCTCCATACTCTGGCAGATAGGTAATGACCTGTGTTTGTACATACATACACATGGATTAGCAAGTGGATTAAACTGATAATGTAATGCATAGGTGGAAAACTGAAACATAGTATCAGTGTCAAGAAATACAAACCATTTTGTCTGCAAAAAATGCTTTTAGTGGCTGCCTTACTATATCATCAAACTCCAGTGACATGCCTCAGTGGGGAATTGAGTGTTTAGTGTAGGATCTAGTTCTGGAACTTCAAAATGTAAATCCACAGGTCCACACCAATGAATTAACTTCATTCCTGTTAGACTCAGTGGTGTGTCCTGTGGGTAAATTAAGGCTTTATTGTTTCAGACACTGCAAATTAAATGACTGAAATCTTTCCTCATCTGCCAGGGAGGTCGTGGAAATTTTCCATCATATGTATCTTCTTTACCCTTGCACTGCTGCCTTTCAATTGAGGTTTGGCTCAACTGCTTCACTTACACCCAGAGGCAGCTGAGGTGGCAGCAGTCCAGTCTGCAGACCTGCATTGTTTGTATGGACATAATACACAATTTACTGTAGACTTCCTCTTCACTCCTTACATGCTGCGTGATGTCCTGGCACACAGGATGTCTGCGTCAAAGCTGTGTCATACTCTGTGCGTGAGCAACCCTGCACAAACTGTCCCATACCGAGGTAACAGTAAATAAATAGTCACAGATGAAAAAGGTACATTTCCTGAAAAAAAACCCACACTTTCAGTCTTCATCATCAAGCTTGGATTTGACTTCATGTGTTCTAGAGGTTGTAAGTATTGTAATATTATATTACTGGCCTGAGGCACACATTGCCTGATTCTGTGTAAGCATCAGGGAGGCAGACTCTGCCCAGCCAGACAACCTATGCAGATGTCCATAGATTTGTTTGGATAGGCTGGTCCTGGATGGGCTTTCAATATTTTCTGTAACTAAATTTAGCTCTAACATAGTTGTTCTGATCATGTTGCTACATCCTATGATCTAACATCTCCACATTTTAGTTGTTACAAGAATTTTCAGGAATTTGAACATTTCAGCATCCCTCTGGAATGCCAAGAGCAGCAGGAGGTCTGGAGCCATTGACAGATGCATGGGCCATTGACAGAGGTCTTCTCTTTCACCCCTGACATCTTTAGTGTGAATGCAAATTTATCTTTTAGATCTATAAACCTATGGCTAGCTTTAAAGTCCTCCCTGATTTTCCATCATCCAGGAATGCTTCAGCAACTGCTTTGTTCTCAGCCGCTGGCCGTGTGGTGCAGTCACTCGGCACTTCCTTTTCCAGTCAGCATGGGAATGTTGGAAATAAAATATTGTCTTTTCAGACCAGGGCTTGCTGACCTCCCCAAGCTCAGATACCAGGTCCATTGTTTGACACGTTAGGAGCCCAAGCTGCAGACATGCTGCACAGGTCTGCAGGGCAGGAGATCCCTGGGGCTGGAGGAGGACTCCAGTCTATCAGTGCTGGGAGGAACCAGGTCTCAGGAAATACTGGACACCCTCAAGCAAAGCAAAACAAATGAACATGAATCCCTGCAGGAGTCCGGGAAGGAGCATAGGAAAGGAATATCCAGTTTTGTTTCACTGTCTCCAAGAGGATTTATGGAAAACATGGAGAGTTGGAAAAGACATTATTTGAGATGGGTCTAGGTGGTGCTCTGTGGCCAAGAAGGACAGCTGGGTGGCACAGGCAGGGCTGAAGGGGTGGTTTGGAAAGGTGGTATCAGAGCTATGGGAGGGCAGCATGGTGACACCAAACAGGTACATCATCTGTGCCACCAGAAGGTCACCATCAGAGCCTGATCACCGCAGATGAATCCTGCTCCAAACCAATTCTGAGCTTGTTTGCTTTTACTTTCCACCTTGCACTCACAGCACCCTGCCATGTGTGGCTACAGCAGAGCCGCAGTGCACAAGGTCTCTGCATTTGTCTGCCATTCCCTAGTGCATCGTAGTCCCCTGGAGCCTCCATAAACATCGTCAGGTCTGGGAAATGATTTAAAATAATGGGGAAAAAAAACAAGCAAAGAAGCACAAACATCCCCACGAGAGCAAGCGACTTAAAAGTGAGGCACAGAAATAGCAAACAACTTTTCAAAGTTTAGCCTGATTTTCATTTCACCGTAAATGGAAATTAATTGCATTGGTGCTGCACCAAGGTTCATGGTGCTTCTGCCCTGAAGTTTTGATGGTGCTTTAATGGATCAGGAAGAGAAATACCTCTCTGGACCTGTCAACTCTAACTACTGCAAGGGACCGGGCAGCCATTAGCTCTGACCTGGCAGCAGAACTCAGGCACTCCTATAGTACTGTACTATTTTTTTCTCATTCTAATTCAGGTTAATGCTTATTACCAAATATTAGCATCTTACTTGCAATGTACCAATTTACAGAGCTCTGATGGCCAGAGAGACAAACACCAGCAACACTCAGTGCTTGCAAGTTGTCAAACTCCAAAGAGATAAATATGTATATGGCAAGCTACAAGACTCCACGTTTCAGGCTGTAAGCCCCCACCGAACAACCACATCAGGGAAGGGGCACCAAACCATCAAGTTCAGTCATTCACAACCCATTCCCTCCATGCTTCCTGCAGCTCCTGCCCACAGGCAGGGTAGGGCAAGGCAGATTGCCTGCTACTGGCTGGGCTCCTGGAGGCAGCTGAGCAGCCAGCCTTAGGTGCCAGCTCTGCCCCAGCTGCTTTCCCAAAGTGAGAGAAGTTCAACACAGGCAGAATAACATTTCTGAGCTGTCCAGAGCCCCATTCTCAGAGCCACCCACCAGCAGCAGGCCCAGGGAAATCAAGAGATCTGGCAACATTTAGCACGGTGGGAAAATCAGGCTGTGAATTCAGAGGTACACAGCCATTCAAGCTGCACCCCAGTGGCAAGCTCTGATAGGAGACATAAACCTCGTGGTGACCGCTGGGAACAGGCTGGACTCAGCAGCACCAGCACTAGCTTTACTCAACAGACTTTAAACTGAAATTATTTCCCAGATCTTTCCTCTTGCTCCCTGTACCCCACGTGCTTTTGATGATGCCTGGCATGTCCTCGCTGTCACAGCTGCCCAGGCAGCGCTGCCACCCTCACCTGCTGCTGCTGCCCTCTGGGCTACAAGCCAATACCAAAGCTCACCCAGAAAATGCTATAGGAAGTTGACAAGAGTATTTCTGAAAGCAGATGATGTTGCTGTGCTCTGCAAGAAGCTGTGAAAAAAGCCATGTGCTCCCTCAACTACTGAGTGGACGATACCAGTTACAGTAAAAAGCGTTACACCATTATTATTTATTTCATCACTTGCAGACTTCTCATTCAGTATTTCCTCCTCTTTTCCTTTTTTAGTTTCAGTCTTTTCTACAGAACTTTCTCCACTTTGGGATCATTTGAGAGTGACACAGAAAAGCAAACTGTGAATTTTCTGGTTTTGGAGAAAATTTGAAATGTTACAGAATGGAGAAGACAATTAAAAAAAGAGTAAAATAAAATAAATTTTAAAAATTACATTCAGGTAGGAAGGGGAGGAAAAACAGGAGAAAGGGGGAAAATCAAAACAGTTAAATATTTTAAATTATTTTTCATCGGTATTAAATCTTTCATACTGCTCAATATCATAGAATCCTAGAATCATAGAATAGTTAGGGTTGGAAAGGACCTTAAGATCATCAAGTTCCAACCCCCCTGCCATGGGCAGGGACACCTCGCCCTAAACCATATCACCCAAGGCCTCGTCCAACCTGGCCTTGAACACTGACAGGGATGGAGCATTCACAACCTCCTTGGGCAACCCATTCCAGTGCCTCACCACCCTAACAGGAAAGAATTTCCTCCTTATATCCAATCTAAACTTCCCCTGTTTAAGTTTTAACCCATTACCCCTTGTCCTACCACTATAGTCCCTAATGAAGAGTCCATCCTCAGCATCCCTATATGCTCCCTTCAGATACTGGAAGGCTGCTATGAGGCCTCCACGCAGCCTTCTCTTCTCCAGGCTGAACAGCCCCAACTTTCTCAGCTGATCTTCATAAGGGAGGTGCTCCAGTCCCCTGATCATTCTCAAACCTGAAAGGAGCAGCACAAATACATACAAATAGTAAAAGGATAAAGCACACGGAGATTAAATAAGAAGGAAAATTACCTGTTCACAGACAGACAGTGACTGAGGAAAACAAAGTCCTTACATGCTCGAATGCTCTTGGCAGTGTCTACAGCCGCTGAGACCATGTGCCTCTCAGAAACAGAGGCTGAGGTGTTGAGGCCCAGGCATGTTTCTAACCATGTTTCCTGGCTTGCAGGCCATTAGGCTGAAGAAAAAACCTGCATTTCACAAAGCAGTGGAAGCTGTTTTGACCCCAGTGCTGGGGAGCACTCCTGCATGGTGGCACTCCATCACGTGGTCTTGTTAGACCTCTCACTGCACAAAGCTCTCCCTGGGCCATGCTAGCACATGCTCTTACCCACAGTTTCCCATGCTCCAGGAGCCAGCAGGGCTTTTGGAGGTAAAAGAGGTCTAGGATATGGGGTATGGTAGTGGGATGCTCAGTACCGGAGTGGTCCCAGGCACCTTTGGTTTGCTGGCATGGCCATGGAGGTGCCAGCAGCTCTACAGATAGGTGGTGGCCTCTCGGCTCTCCCTCTCTCTAGCCTGTGCAACAGCAACGTTGATGCACTGAAGCCACTCCTCAGCATTCTTCTCATCTTTAGCCTTGAAAACATAGGTTTTGCTGTCAGTGAAGATCTCAAAGGCCCGGGGCAGGCTGCGGTCCCTGCGCTTCTTTGCCACCACTTTAACGCTCTGCACCTTGCTGAGCTCAATGGGGCAGTCATCAGGGTCATCCTTCTGAAACACAGGGAAGACACACGGAATGAAGTTCATTTGGTAGGGTTTCCATCATCTTAATAAACAGTTGAAGTCTGTAGAACTTGTCTTGTAAATGTTGCTCATGTGGGCAAACACACTGATGGAGACTTCCCAAAAGAGCTTTAGGGAAGTTAGAAACCCCGCTCCCATGCAGTGCCACACTCCCCCACATGGGCTGTCATGGTCTACTGTATGCAGCAACCAAAGGTCCACACTGATGCCTATGTCCATGCCCATGCCCATGCCCATGTCCATGCCCCCTCAGCATCTGCACTTTTTAGTTCCAGCTTCAGCTGTCAACACAGCCTTAGATTTTTCCTTTCTCTGGCTTTTAATAATGGACACTTTTGTTAATGGTGCCAGGCATGAGTGCCAATGGCAAATGCTTCCTAGGTACAAATATCAGCCAATCCTTGTGGACTGAAGAAAGCTATCTTCTCTTAAGCAGTGTAAGTTGTTCCCCTTCTCAGTCTCCACCCAAAAATGGAAGCAACAACTCCTTTTATTGGTTCTGAAAACAGAACAAATACCTTGAGTCTGACCCAGGAATCTGAGGCATTTCTCAGTGGAGACAGGACAGCTGCCTTGCAATTTTGTTTGAAAACATACAGAGTAGGTATGTGTAGGAAATCTTAGCATCACTATAAGAAACATGCAGGGAGCATAAGAGAATTGTACAAAATCATGGAAGTTTCCTTCAGGAGAAAAGATTTGTGAGCTCGTAAAAAAATGTACAAATTGGATCTCCAGGTGAGAAGTTTAAACCAAAGGCCCTGATTCCTCAATAATATTTATTTTTGCTGTTTAGCTTCTTATGCTTTTTACTAAGAGGAGTACTAAGTTGAGTACTTAGAGTACTTAGGAGTACTAAGAGTAGAGTACTTAGGAGTACTAAGAGGAGTTACTTTACTAAGAGGAGTTACTTTACTAAGAGTAGTAAGGCAGATTTTCCAAAAGCTTTCTGCTCCTATTATACTGGAAATATCTGGACTGATCTGACTGAAAATTAGAGGTTAAGTATCTTTCAGGAGCTGAGCATGACCCTGGACAGGCTGAGGTGTGGGAACTGCAGTCTCTAGAACTGTTCTGCCTGCCCCAGCTTCGTTTGCTCTCCCAGCAGCTCAGGTCTGAAACGTGACCAGAACTGGGCAGGGAGATTTCTTGTGCAATAATGTCTCAGTCCTTCTGGGAACGAACCAGGAAAAATTTACTGCTCTAAGGAAAAGCTCATCTGAAAAGACCTTCCAAAAGAAGTCCCAAGCCCAATGGCTGTGATTTCTCTTTAGGTTTTGATAGTCCACTACAATTAGAATCATAGAATCATTGATCATCAAGGCCAACCATTACCCAAGGACTGCCAAAATCACCACTAAACCATATCACGAAAGGCCTCATCTACACAGGTTCTGAGCACTTCCAGGGGTGCTGATTCCACCACTTTCCTGGGAAGCCTGTGAAGAAATATTTCGTAATCTAAACCTCCCCTAGTGCAGCTTGAGGCTGTTATCTCTTGTTCTGTCACTTGTTACATGGGAGAAGAGACCGACCCCCACCTCACTATCATGTCCTTTTGGGTTAGTTGTAGAGGGGGAAAAGGTCCCCTCTGAGATTTCTCCAGACTAAACAACCCCAGTTCCATCAGCTGTTCCTCATAATGCTTGTTCTCCAGAACCTTCACCAGCTTTGTTGCCCTTTTCTGGACCCGCTCAATGTCTTTCTTGTAGTGAGGAGCCCAGAACAGCAGCAATAGACTTGATAAGCAAAACTTTGCACCCTGTGAACCTGACCCTTACACTTAGAAGCCTATCGAGGAAAAATTATATACTCCCTTCCTAACCATCCTATGATTCTATGATTCACTACCACAGTGTTTGACCTCAAATTACTAGAGAAAATTGACTGTACCCTAGGCACATTTCTGTGGAAGGAGTTTACCACAATTTTCCAGGAGTTTAGGATTTGGCTGTTTCTCAGACCTCTTATGTTTTGGTTTTCTCCTGCCTCCCCTTTACCCACTGGCCATACAGTTGCTTACACAGAGCCAACATTGTTCTCATGGTTACTCAGATGAAGGGAAGGTTCATGGTGGGGCTCCAGCAATAAGCAGGCACAGCCAGCTGGCCACCTCACAATACCTCCTCTGTCTTAGGTTTGTACTTTTAAGTAAGCAGTGCGTAAAGTCCAAACACCCACACAGCACCCAGCCCTGCTCCACAGTGCCAGAGGTGGTGGGACAAAGCTGTCCTGCTCTGCCAGGCAAGACTGGCTTTCAGGACCAGAACAGGCACTGGATGCAGCTGGGCAGGAGTCTCTACCGCTTCTTTAGTTGGCCACAGACTGGCACCCTGAATCTTGCTATGCTTTTGGCACCTGTGCTCAGCCGGCAAGGTATGGGGCTGGTCCTGCTGCTGGGTGCCAGAGGTGCACAGGAGGGGACCTCCTGTAGGGTCTGAAAATCACACTTTTATTGTCCAAGCCACTGTGTCCAGGCTTCATACCTCCAGCCTTGCTTGAAGAGCTTTAAATTTTGTGTTTGGTGTCTGCATTAGTCAGCCCAGGGCACATGGGCAACCTAAACCAGTGGGCTCAGGTTTGCTTCAGGCTGCAACCCAAGCAGTAGTTAACAGCAGGACTTGACTCTCGAATTTAGGCCAAAAATGTAGAAGTAACAGGATATAAAATGTAGAAGCAACAGGATATAATGCACCAGCTTGAAAGACTGATTACTCAGACACAGTAACTGATGCTGTCCCTGGGGGGCTGGACGCCAGCCTGCTAGGCTAAAGAACCAGTCCAGGTATTTGTTTTCAAGTTGAAAAAGAAGCAAAGAAGCCTTGAGTTTGCCGGTTAAAAAGGGAAAGTCAATCTGTTGAGTAAAATCTGCTGTTTAACAATCTAAACCTCCAGCTTCACCTGCCTGTGACACATTGTACGTTCTCTGCGTGAACAGGGGGAGCACTGAGAATGCAAATGTAATGAGGCGATTGCACCCAAGTGTAATCAAGGTATTCTGATGTGCCTTATGCCTGGCTTGTTTGGAGGGCTAATTAAAGCCATTCCGTTAAATACAACTCTATAAGCTAATCACCTTGCTAAATAATGACAATTATTCTGACACTCTTTCAAGAGTGAGCGTTAGCTGGTACTGAGCTGTAGTTATGGTACATGTATGGGTTAAATTGTCTTCAGAATCTCAATAAAAACATCAGAAAAAGCCACCAGAGAGTCAGAAAAAGGCTAATAACAACTTTCATTGTGAAAAGCTGATGTTATTTTCTAATAATTGAGAAATAATAACTAATGAGGCCTGGATTCAGCTACCTGCTCTTCCATGCCCTGGGCCATACTTGTCTCGGAGTCCAATCAGTATGACCTTCAAACAATTTCACAGGCATTTCAGCAGAATTTCTCTGAATTTAGATAAGGGTGGAAGTGAAAGCAAAAAACCAGCATTCCTTTGGGAGAAAAAACATTTCAGCAGCACCTTGCTTTACGCACGCTTACATTGCCTGCACAAATAACACCAGTTATAATGCCATCATCTCAAGAGCAGTTACTAATGTACAAAAGCAGGCAAGACTTTCAAAAAAGGTGAACCGCGGCTTGATTATGGAGACTGCCCTGAGGTGTTCAGAAGTGCCTGACTTTCTTGCTCCTGAGCGCTGCTGGTCCCATGAAAACTGGGCACCCAGAAATGACAGCTCACTTTTGAGCACACTGGCTGTGGCTGCTACATGCTTTGCTATCCCATGCCATGCACTTTGCAAGTGGAAAAAATACATTTACCTGAGCAGAATTTATTGGATTTGTGTTTATACAAGGAAATAAAGAATCTCTGGTCAAAAGTGGAAACGATTTTTGAACCCACTGTAACTCTTTCAGGAACAGAAGCTTTTGCAATATCTGTGAGGTGACTCTGGGATGCCTCGAGGCAGAGCAACAATACTCAGGCACAGGTCACCAGTTAGTAGGGTATAAATTACTGTGTCACAATGTTGAGCCCTAGGCATTTGTTGGCTGAACAAGAGCAGAGTCAGTGTGAGGCTGAGTACTTGCAAAAATCACACGCTTTTGATCCAGAGAGAAAATTGTAACTAAAGATGATGAGCAACCCCTTGGCTGAAGTTGGCCATGCAGCTCACAGAGACCGCAGGCAAAGCTGAGTGGTAAAAACTGCTGGGAAATGGTGCTGGGGAGGAGGGAAAGAGATACATCAAACTGATGGTTTTCTGACTTACGGATTTTCCTTTCCGAAAAAGCAGCTGGTTGCCAGCCAGGGTGAAGTAGCGAGTTTTCCACCTTTTAATAAACTTCCACCGGATTTGCTTCTCTTTAAGCTTGCCTTCGATGAGAGGTTGGCCATCCTGATTTACAACTGGGGAGGTGAACATACAAAGAGGAGGTTATTTCTGTCCTCTCACTCAGCCGGAAGTCAGGCTTTTCCTATGATGCAAAAAAACTTTTTTGCAGTTTTGCAGCTCCAAGACCACATTCCTCCCAACCTCAAGCATGCAGCTGTTACTTCAGAAAGACATTTCAGCCTTTAGACATGTTTTGCTTGGGAGGCCTAGCAGATGGAGCTGACAGCTCGAACTGCTCTGTCCATCACTTTATTCCCTTAGCCATCATGTGCTTAACCCCACCATTACATCTCCCAGTTCTTCCTCAGCCCTGCAATAATAAGATACAATTTCATTGAATTGTCTCTGATGTTTTAATCCCCACTACAGAGTTCAGTACAATATTCATGCAGTATTTTGGATAGGAATATTTTGAGGAAGTCACTCTCCATTACATGCAATACTTACTTCATTGCAGCAGGAGTCCTGTGGAGAAGGAATTAAAAGCCAGAAGCAGAATGTCCACGTGGGGCTGAGAGACCAGGCACCATCCTACTGGGACAATTGCCAACCATTTGTAGGTAATTCCAGCCCAGATATATGACTTTTTGCTGAGAAAGGGGTTGGTGAGTCCAGGGGCTTTGTCTCCCAGACATGACACTTCCCATCCTCACCCTCCCAAGACAAGACTCCTTCTTCTCTTGGGAAAGGGATATGTTTGTTATCAGCTCTTCCTTATCCAGTGTTCAAGCAATAATCTAGCTCTACATTCTGTAGAGGTCACTCACTGTTACGTCTTCGTATTTTTTCTAGTTCTCTCTTCAGGGATATTTCAAAGTCATTTAACATTAGCGATCCATTTTGTAATAATAGTCCTTACAGCAAACTCAAGAGTTACTTACATCCTGTAGATCTCATAGCACTGACTGGTTGGTAACGTCACTTTTTCTATCACTTTTACATTTCTAAAATAACACAATTTATTTTGACATCTGTATGGCAAAGGCAAGAGCAACTCACAGCTCAGCCCCAGGGGCCCAGTAGCCACCCTGCTCCCTCAGAAGCAGTCAAGGTCTTTTCACCATGTTCCCCATTGAGGACAATGTTTTTACCATCTTGAGGCAGAATTTACATACAAACCATTATCATATCATTGGCAATAACACTGCCTGGCTTGTGCCCTGGCTGGTAAGAGCTAAACCAGCATTTCTGTCACACATGTGGCAATCCTTACAGAGCCTATTTTAAATCTGGAACGGGTAACTCTGCCCTAGGTCAAACGGGAGGACAGAGGAGAGGGAGAGACACAAAAACTTCTGTCCCCCTCAATGACCTGTGCTGCAGCACATTGCCCAAGAATAATCTAAAATGTAATGAAAATTACTTAGTGTACCGTATCAGTATTCAATAGTTGTAAGTGTACAGTACATCAATACTGTAATGACTGTAATTAGCATAGAAGCAGAAATACAGGCACACCCAGCTACTTTACCTTCAGCTCAGCCACTTTCCAGCCCATTTATCTTCTATAGTGGTCTGAAAAGTGCCTTCAGTTTGCCTTAGGAAAATAACCTTATATTTGTCACTACAGATTTTTCTTCAATCAACTCCCTTAAAAATAAAAACCAGATAAAGTCTCTAGGAAAGGGAAATAAACCCTTCTTTGTTATCTTTTTGCAAAATTATTCCTATATTAAAAATTACTTTCAGAATTCAAAACACTGTATGCATATTGGGAAGCCTTGCACTTTTCTTTACAGTGTAAGGTTGTAGCCATCTCTACCTCCAGCCCTGTGACCATGGTGCTTGCCTGCCGTCAGTATTCACTGACACCTCAGCTTGAAGCATGCGAGTTTATAAGAGTTGGAACAGCATTCCCATACTCTGCATGCAAAAAGGAATATTGCAGCACAAGAAAAGCCCAGCAATCAAGGGAATCACTACGGGCTATAAACCACATCCACAGAGCAGCCTCAAGCCACTACCCTTCACATGTAGAGCAAACCATTTAAAAATCCTCTAATACCATGTCTGGGTTTCTCTTTTCCCTTCTGTTTTTTACACCTATAGACAAGACACATGGTCTAGTGTGAGGCTTTAATAAGATCTTAAGGTCCTTTCCAATCCTAACCATTCAATAATTCTATGGATGGATCAGATAAACTGAAGAGCAGTCCAAGGCATAAGCAGTCTAAGAACAGATGCTTGTCAATGTGTTAGTTGACTTGGACCCCTTCCCAGCACCCGTGAAGTAGTCAGTTATCCTATGGCTGGCAGTACCTTAGCACAAATGTTTACCCAGTAACACTTATTCTTGAAAGTGTTCACTATTGCCTGTGCATGAACCTTTCAGAACCCTAGATACAGTAGGCTGGTGCAATGCTGAAGATATGAAGTGAGCAGGGTGGCACAGCACAGCCAGCGAAGGTAGCACCTGGAGATTCAAAGGCTTTATAGATTTTTTGGCACATAACCTCTATTCACTACCTTGTGTCTGGTAGAGTAAAAGCAATGCAAATACAGTGCATCAGATTTAGATAAAGAATGTATTTTTTTTCCAGCACTGTTTATACTGGCAGAGAGGCAGGCTTTCGGGGGCTTCAGTGTGTATTGTTGCAATTTCCTCATGAAAGAGTATAAATATTTCTGTCTCTCTAGACAGGGAGCTTTTGGAAGGAGATGGAATGAATGAAAAGGGTAATGGCAAGTTTAAGCTTCAGTATGGAACTGCAGCTGTGATTTCCATGATAAGAACTGGACACACTGCTCCTTGTAGCCTGCTTCATTCCTAACTTGATGCAGCAGCTCTTTTCTGTACATTTTCGTGCCAGCACCGACATGATACACTGCTGAGGCTGGCACGGGACAAAGTAAACATGCTTGCTTTCTCCCCATGTAATTTTTACCACTGCAAAATGCCACAGGGAAGTGAATTTGAGGCTGCAGTCATTTCACAACACACTCTTCAGCAGGATGGAGCCACATTTTACAGTGTGCTGCTTTACAGTAACATTGCAATTTTGTTAACAGCTTTGTGAGAGAAACATGTCCTGGGAACAGAAGAGCTGGGTTCTTTTCTTTCTAAACCACTTTCTAAGGCTGTATCAGGTATTATCTGGCATTTCTGCAGCTGAGATTTGCTGGGATACCCGTAATGGTCATCCTAAGAGTCATTCCTGTTTGGGAGTGGAGGAAAAGGGCAGACCCATAGGACCAGCAACAGTCTGGCAGGTCTGAGTGCAAGTCCTCATAGTCTTGTAGCAGCCTTTTCATCTTCTGGTGACCTTGTTCCCCATTTATGCAATTGGCATTATATTTTGTGAGATAAAAAGATATAATTTTTTATAGTTAGCTTTAAACAACATCTGAGCTGATACTTTGCTTATTGTGCAAATGCCTCATCAAATTTGTAACTTCATGAGGTACAGGGTGATATCCCTGCCATTCCCACCATTTGCAATTCATGTGTGCACTTTCTCATTGGAGGATGTTTTGTCACCATGAGAATGCGCAGTTTGGCATCAGGATATTACCACCTCAGTAGCATGTGGGTGATAATGACAGGGCATGGGTGTGTATCATCTCCCAGGATGAAGTGTCAGAATTGCTATGACAAAGTCTACCCAGTAAGGGACAAGAGATCAAAAAGCTGTGAATCTGAGAAACTCAAACCAGCAGCACCTAGTAGCAAGCTTTCCTGGAGTGTGCATGAAAGAAAGGGGAGAGAACTTCACTTCAATAAAAATGACAGAGACAGAAAAAGGGGTTTTTACTCCTACATGACAGCTATAAAGAATAATATGCAGAGTAACTTTCAGAGCACAATGACAATTGTAAACGTCTAGATAGAGCAAAAGGAGGACTTGATATGAAAGGGCAATTGCTCAGTGGTTGGGTCTAGTGCATCTACCTGGCTCCCGGTCCCATGGGAATGGCTTTGATACCAGTTCCAATGCAGTAGGAACATGCCTTAGTCCTTAGTGTAAAGCACAAAAAGTTCAGGGTATTGAGATGGTCAGGAATGCAACATGAGAAAGGAAGTGAATGTGTCATTTTGGCCTAAAGTGGATTTTTGTGTCCAACATCTTTCGAAACCAGGGTTTACCTAAAGAAATGCTGATCTCTCTTTAAGCACCCGGTGGCTAGCAGCAATACTAACAGATCACTTCTTGCACACATCCACAAAGAACCCCATGGGGAACTCTGATGTCAGCTTCCGAAGTCATCATAATGAATCTGATGCCAGTATGTCTGAGGGTCTGATTAAAACAAAAAGATTCATGAAAGATAAGAACACTCTTTTCCTATATTTTTCTAAGCCCTTTTGCTTATTTTCATTGTGATTAACTTCACAGAATCACAGAATAATTCAGATGGAGGAAAGTTCAAGGGGTCTCTCATCCAACCTCCTGCTCAAAGCAAGGTCACCTATGGGGTCAGACTAGGTTGCTCATGGATTTATTCATCTGGGACTTGCAAATCTCAAGAACATTTCTAGGCAAGCTGTTCCAATGCTCAATCATATTCATGGTGGGAAAGTTTTCCCTTGTAGGCAGTCTGTTGTCTCTTACCCTCCCACCACACACCACTGAAAAGAGCCCTGCTCTGTCTTCTTAATGGCTGTCTTGGAGCTATGGACAGACACTACCATGAAGTCTCCTCCAGCTCTACTTGCACCAGCCCTTTTCCCTCAGCCTCTTCTAACAGGGCAAAAGCATCAGCTACTAAATGTCTTGGTGGAGCTTGTCCCCATCCTTACTGCGGTTTTACTCAGTCATCACTGTAGCCCTTCAACACCTGCTGTGTGCAGAGCAGGAGTAAGTGCATGGAGGTCTTTGAGCAGAGGACATAATGAATAAATCTGTATTGCCTCAGAAATGCAAAGCTTTACTCTTCTCTCTATACTCTTCCAAAAATCAAATTCAGTAGCTGGTGATCCCCACTTCTTTACTTGGCAGAGGGTTATTTGAAAGAAGCATTTGCACATCTAATATGGATAGAAGACTTTTAAAAAAATGAAATCAAATGCCAATTG